CGCCGCCATTCCGGGCCTCTCCGCAGGCCGGGCCGGAGCGGGGAGACGTGTCCGCGGTGAGTCCCGCTGGGCACCGGCACGGGCACGGGCATGGGCATAGCGGGGCGGGGGACCGCGTTCCCGTACAGCGAGGAACCGGAGTGGGGGCACTCGCGTGTGCCGGGGCCGAGGCTGGGATCGGGCGCCGCCGCAGCGCGGAAGCCGGGCGGGAGCCGGGACCTGGCCTGAGCGGCACACCCGCCATCGCAGCTGTCCCTGCCTTGATGTGCAGCTCATGGGGCACCCCCAGAGCACTCTCTAACAAACGGGGCAGCCGCTGGGACCRCACCGCACCCATGGACACCCACGGCTTTGAACCCCGCCTTTCTCAGTGCTTTCTGCTAGTAATACCTTCGGGTTATTGCTAGAACGCAGGACGAGTTTGAAAAGGCGCATGCTGATTGTTTACTGTCTGCGTTTCTCAGCTGTGGCAGAGTGAGCCAGTTTCGCTTTCAGTTCTGGGCGCTTCAGCCCTTCAGACAGGAGTGGATASGTATTTAAAGAGTTCATGAGCGAAATAGTAGGTTTGAGTTGTATTTAGTCAGGAAGTAGTGTCGCTACATTGAACTTGGTTTGCTGTTAAAGGCGYTTTACTGGTTGATTTCTGCGGGGAAAAACTGAACATGATGTTACAATATGGTAAGAATAARGGGTTTACTTTTTACTCTTTATTATTAACACTGTTTTTAATTCAAGATATTTTTGCAGTTTATATTTGCATCCACTGACGTGAATTTGTGTACATTGTGCTTTCAGATTAGATTATACATTTTGTAGGTCTTCAGACTACGTGTCASAGGCTCATGCTCTTTTCAGTGATTGCGGTGGGACTCAGGCAAAACAGTCTGAAGGCCAAGTGAAGTAGATTTTTAAAAACAGCTTCCCTATTAAGTTCAACAAGAAATGGTGCTGATTGAGTTAGCCAGAGAAGATTTTATTTAGGTTTTGGTCATGAGTTTTCATACAGGTGGATTTGTGCCTCCGTAGGAGCTCTGTTAACTTTTCTGCATCCTGGCATGATTTTTAACGTGCATTCCTCACTGAAATTCGTATTTTCTGACTGATTTGGGTTTTGGGGAAGTTTTTTGGTTGGTTGGGGGGGTATTGTGGGGTTGGCTGGTTTGTTTTTGGATTTAGGTGTAGGGTGTTGTTTTTTTGTTTTTTGTTGGTTTTGTTTGGGGTGTTTTGTTTAAGGTTTTTTGGGTATTTTTTTTTGCTCCCTGCTCACTTTTATTCCTTAAAAGTATTTCARTTAGTCTGTTTTGATCTCATTTGACACCAGAGCTGGAATCACAAAGATATTTGATTCAAGTTTTGTGAAAATCGGTGGCTGTGGAAAGGAGAGGTACTTAACTTAGGGTCCTCAGTAAGGAATAGGCAATTAGGTTCATCACTTCATSTGTTCAAGAGATTTAAGACAAACAATCTGTCCAGCCATTGGTGATTATTGCTAGTAGTATTATACATCCTTAGTTCTTCTGTGGTTATTGAATATGAGGCAAGGGTGCTCCTGCACACTTCTTACTTTTTTAACTCTCTTTCAGACTTTATCCCCTGCCTTTAGCGAGTGTCTCCCATTAAGGCTGCCTGCAAGTTTGCTGTAAGGTACCTTTAGCTTTAGTTGTTGAGTGGCTTTGGGGAACAAACCCATTTACATCCAGATACAGGCTGGCCCTTTCTGGTGAGAGACCAAGACCAGTGTTTGTGTATGGCTGACAAAGAGTGACCTCTTGGAGGAAAGTGGAATCTGCAAACAAGCRATCTCAGAAGGGTACAGAAATCAAATGGATTATGTTCTGTGCTTTCAGACCAAAGGCTAAGTCTTGAAAACATGATTCCTGCAACTGTTCACACTGTCCTGAGTGCTCTRTATTTATGCTGCCACAGAAAGATCTGGTTACACTCGGAGGAGAAAAAACACAAGAAACACTAAGGACTGAAATGTGCTTGCAGCTAAGGTATCCTCATCATGAATAGGTACAAAACTATCAGACAGCTTGGTGATGGGACCTACGGCTCTGTTCTCCTAGGGAGAAGCATTGAATCTGGAGAGCTAATAGCCATTAAAAAGTAAGTGTTTTTATATGTTACTTAACAATGGATCATCTAGTTTTTTTCCTTCCTAGGTCCGTATCAACTTGGTCATGCTGGTTTGAGTGCTTTACATTCTATGTAGCTTTTTTATATGGAGTTGTATTGAGCAGCAATTGAACAAACTCAAGTTCCTTCTATCTTCCAAAGCCTCAGCAGGAGATAAAGAGGGTGACATATATAGGCTTATCATAACAGCACTCTGCTGCTGTGTGCAGTCAAATGTGTTTTATGTATTACTTAGAGTGTTCTGCAAGGCTGCTTTGGAATCTACAGCCATTTCACTGCTGCATTACATGGAGCATATATCTCATAGTCTAATTTTCAATGTAATATTCATACTGTAATGATAATTAATGCAATTGATCTCATCACCCATTATCTGTATCTTTTGTGCTATTGCCTATTGGTCTTTTCAGTTTAAGTGTTTCTTGAAATTCCTTGAGAAAATCACTAGATTTTTTTCTGCTGCTTCAGCAATGACCTTAATTTGTAAATGGCTTGTTTGTCCTAGCTATGGTAAGAGACAGCTGTTAAGCATTGCAGACACCTTTGTGAAATACTGACCATGATGCAGGGACAGACTTGTCGAAAGAGCTTTCAGTACAATGCTATTTTGTATGAGCAGTCAATAACTGGCTTTATCAACTTTCTGAATCCCCTGTGCTGAGGGTATATTGCCTATATCAGACCTTCCTAGAGGTACCTTTGRTTTTCGATTTGCAATATGGGAGAAACTCAGAGAAATCAGAACAAGCCAGAAGTATTCTGAGCTTACATGTTAATGCTGGTCCTTTATTAAGAGCAGAAGTGGCCTGGTGGCTGAGTGCACAAGACAGTAACTGCAAAAACACTGCTTAAAAAATAAAATCCAGGCCCCTTCATGACATGAAGAGCTGGTAGTTCTTAAACTACTCTAATTGTATGAACTGATTTCAAACWGGAAACTTGCTACAATAAGTAATACTGAATTATCATTAAAGGCAAAGGTTCCGATCTTCCGAGAGTGCCTTACTGCCTCTGAAATTCAGACTCTATACAGTTGAGTATTTTTGTAAGTTTTAATCTGTGATCTTCTGTGTGCAGGTATGTGTGAGCCTTCATCCTACTGGTCCTAAAGCAYAGAGTTACATCTCAGAGAACTGAGTGATAGTCAAAATGTATATGAACACACAGGACCATATGTTATGTGCAAATATTGTGTTCTGAGTCATATTCTGGCTTAAGAGAAAACTGTCACGCAGTTTGTTTCTGTTTGAGCAGAGTTGCTAATAAGCTTGAAGGTGAAAGCAGGATTCAAAAAGCAGTTGGCATAATAGATGCACTTTTCAGGGGAAGGAGAAATATGGTGAGCAGTGGACAAAGGAAAATGTGGCAAGATATCAAGATACTAAAATTGCAGAAAAATCAAAATACAAAGAGGAGCAAGGAGAATATGATAAAATTGAAGACCYAGTGCAGTGACTGGCTCTTCATTTGAATTGTTTCAGAACCTTTCCCTGAGTTGTTCATAACTGTCAAAACTACCCTTGTTCTTTTTACAGTTAGACTCTACKCCACCACATTGTTATACCAGAAAGAAAAATAGCAAACCCTGGCTTGTTAAAGGCTCTGAATTTTTTTCAGCCAAATACATACACAGAAAAATACAAAGGAATGTAATAGTAAATATTTTTTGAGTGTAGTTCTRTTTGAGTATGTATTCTAGTAATTCTGTATGAGTGTACACTGTCTAAAGATGTAAAGTTTTTTGACAAAGGACATCTTTGACATATTGTAAGGGAAGAACTGAATTGTTAAGATGAAGTGAGACTTCTGGTTCTAGGWACAGCTGATGTTTTCAATGCATTAGTCATTATTTTCCCTTCTACTTTTGTAGAATGAAGAGGAAGTTTTATTCCTGGGAGGAATGCATGAACCTTCGAGAGGTTAAGGTACTTGTTTTGTTCAATGATTGACTTTAAATTAGATGATCACTGTCACATTTTGGGGTGACATCAAATTCTTTACAACTCTTCTGTAAAAAAATTCTCCCAATGTGAGCTGTAGCATATGACATTACAGTTCTGTTTCCTGACTCTGCATTGGAAGGGAGTGTCTGTTGTCTTATAAAAAGCTTAGTGAAATGTTATAGTCTTACAAAAAATCATTTGGTTGTGGAAAGCTGCTTCCTCCTTGCAGTGAGGGATGTGTGAGTGAGAGCTTTGCTGTCACAACACGTGGAGTTGATTGRTATTTAGTTTTCAGAGCTTGAAAACACATGCCCTTTRTGCAGCATTAATTTTTGTACATGCYGTTGTTTCTCTATAGTTGGCTTGGGGGTAGACATTTAGCATGAATTTTGATGCTAWCAAATATTGAGGGGTATGCTTTAATGACCTCCTTAATTTATAGTCAGCACTGAAAACRTGCAGAAAACCACGTAAAAATCAATGTTGAATACATTGAAAATCTAGAAAGAAAAGAGAGGGAAGACTCAAGTATGCTAATTTTGGCTGGGGGTTAATTTTTCTCGTAGCAGCTTCAGTGGGTCTGTGTTTTGSATWTCTGACCAAAACAGTCTTGACAAYACAGGCATGTTTTRGTTACTGCTGAACAGGGCTTTCACAGCCTCAGACCTTCTGTTTTTCATGCTTCTGTGTCAGTGAGTTGGCTGGAGGTGGGCAGAAGGCTGGGAGGGGACACAGCCAGGAGARCTGACCCCAGCTGATCARAGGSGCATCCTATGTGACATTGCTGAGCAACAAAAGCTGAGGCAAGGATGAGGAAGCTGGGAGACCTTCAGAGTGGTGGCGTTTGATTTCCCAAGTAACCACTACACGTGATGGAGCCCTGCTGTGCTGGAGGTGGCTGAACACCTGCCTGCTCATGGGAAGCTGTGAATTAATTCCTTATTTTGCTTTSCTCCCATGCTTGGCTTTTGCTTTACACATTAAACTCTGTATCTCAGCCCAAGCTGTCTCACTTTCTGCCCTTCTGTTTATTTTCTCTATTCCACTTGGAGGGCCGAACAAGCTTAGTTGCCTACAAAGGTTTATCCACGATACCATGGAAGACTTTCCAGGGTTGTTTTTAGTCTTAGCTCTCAACYTGTCTGTTGCCAGTGCAGGTGCAAGAAGAATGTGAATTGTGCCATTAGAAAGTTACAGAGAAAATGCWGTTGTTTTGGTGCTTATAGTGATAGCAAATAGCTGGCTTTGGACTCTCAAGCACATTAAATTGCTGCATAGACTGTAYATGTATCTGGTAATACTTGGAGATCTAGCCTTTGTTCTCAGAGCTGTCTGATTATTTAAGATACAGAAGTGTTTTTGAAGTAATTCTTCTGCAATAGTGAAATAAGTTGGTGTTTTTTTTTCTTTTGCACTATATTAAGAACCTTGTAAATTGCTATTTGTATTTTCTGTTTCTAGTCTTTGAAGAAATTAAACCATGCCAATGTAGTAAAGCTGAAAGAAGTTATTAGGGAAAATGATCATCTGTATTTTGTGTTTGAATACATGAAGGAAAATCTTTATCAGTTAATGAAAGAGAGGTATGTAACAGCATCACTCATTCCTGATATAAATTAATTACGTGTGTGATGTGTTTTTAACACCCTTATAACGGTTCAAAGGACTTCGGATCATTTGTTTAGTCTAGATTTCTATAGGTTAAAGCTGCAGGCTGCAGTAGGAGCTGTGGCTGTCACTTTTGAGCATATCCAGCCAGTCTAGTGAGGGTTTCTGATGTCTCTTCCCAGAGAGTAGGTGTTCTTTTGAGAGGTAGGAACTGTGGACTTGTAACATCCCTCACACTGGGGAGGCATTGGATCTAGAACTTCTGATTCCTATAAGTACTTCAACTGTGTTTTTTAAAAAGACAGTGGTATCACCACCTCTTATTTTATGGYTTCCTCAAATAAATGAATAAATAAAAAGTAGTTGAAACAGTAATCAAGAGGTGTCAAATTCTGGATTGCTTCCAGGAATTATTTTTCCTTGCAATTTGAGCTGACATGACCAAAACCTGCTTGTTTCATTTGTCAGCATTGTGAATAAAATCTAGCTTTTTAATATTTGGTGAAGCATTAATAAAGTCTTAGTTTTAGCCTTCAGGCCATAATAACATCCACCAGAGGATAAATGCAGGTGAAATTCTCTGCTTTGAATTGTTTCTCTCTATGGACCATAKTATCAGCCTGGCAGATGACAATAATCTTCCTTAATTTAACGAAGTAGGGTTATTGTTAGAGTACACCTATGTGAATGCTACATAAAGTACCTTTTTAATCATAAAAGCACTTAGTATGCATGCACAGGTGTAGAACAGCTCTAACTTAATTGGGCACATGTATATGGATGCTGATTTTTTAATTATGTGGRATAATGAACTTTAAGGAAATGGTTCAAGTCTATAATAGAAACCAATTATCTTTAGGAATTTCTTAGAAATGCTTGATATCCTACTTTATTATGAAAACAAAAAGGCCAGATGCCCTTAAAAGTATGCTGTGCATCATATTCTCTACAGTTCAGCTAGGCCTGGGACTTGTTAGACATTGTGTAAATCAAACCTTTAAGAATGTGATTTATTTACTTAATTCCTTGTTAAATTACCAGTTTTGCTTGAAGGGACTGTAAAGGAAATAAGAATTTSTTCTGTAGCTAAGAAAAGAAAGTAGGCAAATACGAAAAGCTGACTAGTTGTTTTATTGTCATTGCCTTCTTTTATCTTTGGTTCATTAGCATAAGCTAATGTGTGAATTTAATCATTAATATTTATTTCTTCCCTTTTATTTCACAGAAACAAACTGTTCCCTGAGTCCACAGTTAGGAATATTATGTACCAGATCCTGCAAGGGCTTGCATTTATTCATAAGCATGGTAGGTTACCTTTTAGCTATAAACATTCTGAATTAGAGCCAGATTGTGTTTRCATAAGTTTTTGATGAATACGTTAGTAATTACATTACTAACTTTAGTACAAGGAATGACCAAAAGAATGGCACTATATGAGAGACTCAGATTACTGAAAATACCTGTCTTTTATACTTCAGTATAATACTTCAATCTGGAGGTTTGCTGTGTTCCTTTTCTGTAGTTACCGCTTTCTCAGTCTGGTAGCTGGCCACTCTCAAACTCGTTGATGTTAATGGACACATTTCTTGATAGATTAAGAGGTCTCCTGAGACTGAGAATAAAGACGAAAYTACTCTCTTCTCAAGGTACACACAGATACCCGAATAAAACACACATTCTGTATAAGATACATTTAAAGTATTAAAGTCTGAACAACAAACAGCTTTTGTTGCATGGCCTTCCAGCTAATTTTTACAATAATGATAAAAGCTAAAGCRATGTACCAGCCAGTAGTAACAATACCCATTTAGTTACTAAAAAAAAAATCTCAAAATAAACACCTCATTTTARTGATGGCTTCCTCACCATGTTTTGCTGACCTCTGCAATTCTGCCTGCGAGGTACACTGTAGGGTCTGTTGCTGGGCAGCTCTCTGGGTTTTCAGAAGAGAGGTAACRTCAGTGGCCAAAGTCCTGGAAGCAAAAGCTTGTTGGACCAGCATTATTACAGTTCACTTGAAGGACACATTTAACTATGTTTTGCAAAACATTTCAAGCTGATAACTTTATTCAGTCTTCTCATGGGGCTTGGATACTCATCTGAAACCAAACTATAAATTACRATCAGTGACATACATAATATGTAAAAATGGAAAAATAATTGTTSATTTGCAGAAATGKAAGTCACCTTTTTTGATATTGTCARATRGATYACAGCCTTTCAGAACAGCTTTTATTGCTATTTAACTTACTATACCTGTGAAGAATGAACAGATCTATGTCAAAACCAACTGTCTTTTTCACTGACCTCCTCCCACACTAGACACTTAGATTTTTGCCAAGTTGTTGCAACTTTGTAGTTAAAAACGCCTGGAAATGTTTGGCAAAGTCGACAGGATCATTGTGATGGTATTGTGACTCACAGTGTAAGGATCTGTGTCCTAAGAATCTACGAACAGTTTTGGAAGAAAAACCRTAAGAACTCTTCTTCCCTCTCTGTATTTCTCTGTTATGCTCCTATATGACGTAGAAATGCTTGTCAAGTAAACCTTTTACATTCTTTGTCCATCCAAACYCACTTTTTATATGTGAGTACACAGTGGATTGCTCTTTTTACATATTTGTCATGAAATAAATTGCCTCACAAGCATTCTATTGGTGCATGTCTGGACAGCRGAATGCAGAAGTGATTGTACTAAAGTCCTAAGAACAGCCTTGATTGCTCTGCCTGGTACCTTCCATAAAGAGGCAGTAGCTCAAGCTGGCACCAGAGCATGAACTCAGCATCCCTAGGAAGGATGCAATCTCCTGGTTAGTAGATGCCTACAGCACTATGTAACTTCAATGCTTTTACACATCAGTCTAATAAACAAAAGTTAATCTAGTTGTATTGRACAATGAAGACACATCTTATGGGAATGTTTAGTCCATTCTCTGCAGGAACACATTCAAAGCCATGGAAAAAGTAAGCATGTKGGAGTGTGAAAAGGAGCTCGGAGAGCTCCAGTAAGGCCCTACAGAGGGAGCTGTATATAGGAACAGTGGTTTCAGACACCTGCAAGAAAGATGCTYAAGGACAAGATTTCCAGGCTAATGGTGGAAGCAAATATCAGMGAGAATAGGCAGTGATACTCCAGCTCTCTTCTCTCGTTTGTATTGAAAAAGCTCTTGCCAAACATTCATTCATGATGGGTTTTTGCTGTATGCAGAGAGCACTAAAAAAATACAGAAAGCCTCTTACAGGATGAGTAGCTGAGTGCTTGCAGATAATGTTCTCAGATTTTAAAATAAGTTCAAAGTGCAAAAAAAACCCTTGTTTTAATTTMTATTCTGTTTAAAGTAACATTTTATGTAATTATATCTTCATTTGACARTTTCCCATTAGAATAAAAATGGTGTAAATTTTTTATGTTAGAGAAGYGTCACTTGAAAAGGAGCTCTCTGACTGAATGATCTGAATTGCTACAAGATACCCAACTTRTGTATACTGTTTTTCACAGTCTGACTGGCTGATCAGACTTGGATGTCTGTGTGGTGCTATTCCAGCTTCAATGCTAGGAACTAAAGCTGAACTATTGTAGTCCAAATCAGTATTTCATTTGAATTTCAGGGTTCTTTCACAGGGACCTGAAACCTGAAAACCTGCTTTGCATGGGACCAGAACTTGTGAAAATTGCAGACTTTGGCTTAGCCCGAGAAATCCGATCTCGACCTCCTTACACTGATTATGTATCCACAAGATGGTAAGTGCTAGTACTCAATTGCAGGAACTTGCAGTCAKCACTTCAAAGTAGTACAGAACTGAGTTTGTGCTGATTGTGATACCACTTTTGATGCTTCCTCTTCACGAAACTTTTGTTTAAGMTTGGTGTAATTTGAAAAGCTTCAGTTAGTGCAAGACAATTTACAGATAGAAGCAGCACAGAAAGCAGAGAGGGAGTGTGGTAAGGCAGGTGGAAACATGCTAGGGTTGCTGCTTGTCAGGAAGGTATAAGAGTTTACAGAAGCTTATGTAGTCTTAATCAAAAAAAGAAAAGTCTATGTATAGGAGAGGAGAGGAGCTTTTTAAAGTATGTTTGCTCTTAATAGCAAAGAATGAAGAGGTGAGTGATTTCGTGTATGCTTGAATTGTGTTGATTTTTGGGTTTTTTTTTCTTTCCTTTACAGGTACAGGGCTCCTGAAGTCCTTCTCAGGTCCACSAGCTATAGTTCTCCAATAGATATTTGGGCTGTTGGTTGCATAATGGCAGAAGTTTACACGCTGAGGCCTCTCTTCCCAGGCGCCAGTGAAATTGATACTATATTCAAAATTTGCCAAGTCTTAGGGACCCCAAAAAAGGTAACTGAAGTGATATTCTGCATTGCAATAATCCTAGAGCTATTCTACAATACACAATGGCATGTAATACAAACATGCAAAAAGAATAAATTTTCTTGCTTGCTGCTAATTTATGATATTGATCTCAGATATAACAAACTAAATTAAAACTTATTTTCTGTGCAGTAAGCTTTATGTAAGTATGCTATAAAAGCTGACATACAGAGAAAGAGAAATAGCCCCCTGAACAGCAAAAGAAGTCCTTAGACTGTGATTTTATTMGGTGGGAATTCAATTTTCTGTTGTACATTGCATATAAACCTATGGTTTAAGAGGCTGTTAATTGGAATGATGGTAAGATTCCTATTTCCTGATTCCATTTGTGCCCTTGAGTCTGTCAGACTCACTGCAAGACTCACTTCTCACCAGAGGTTTGAGGGGCAGATTTTTAGTGAAATTTTCAATATAGTCAGTAAAGYTGGATGCAGTCTATTAAGTCCTGGTAGGAAAATATATGCCAGTGTGCTTAGGCACTGATACTTTACAGCTGAACTTTTTTTTGTGTTTGGAAATCTCATTCTTCCAGAACGACTGGCCTGAAGGCTACCAACTTTCAGCTTCCATGAATTTTCGCTGGCCTCAGTGTGTACCTAACAACCTAAAAACTCTGATACCTAATGCTAGCAGTGAAGCAGTACAGCTCATGAGAGACATGTTGCAGTGGGACCCCAAAAAGCGGCCAACAGCTAGTCAGGTTTGATTTTGTTTTTTTCTTCTCACATCTGCTTGTGATTATTTTACTGCAAAAAACAGTCATTTAGCAGTTGCTCTGGGGTACAGTTCTTAAAAGGGAGAAGAAGAGACTCCAAGAACAATTTGCAAGACAACGAATGGTAATTAAGAGAGAGTAATCAATCTTTTGCATGAAACATCAGCTGCTTGGTGTGTATGCTCAGTGATCAAAGGTGTGACTGCAGCACCTGTAAATTCACTCCTGCTGAGTGTAATCCAGTCACTTTGAATAGCAGCAGAGTGAAGGTAGGATGTATGGCTGAAGGCTGTGATGCTGTTCTTTCATTGCTGTGTGCCACAGAATGACTGGAATCTGGTTCAACTGCTTTGACCTAGGCAACCTGTGCTAGTGCTCAGTTACTCTCAGAGTTTCTTGATGTTCTGAGGGAGCTTCCTCTGAACATTTCAGTTCGTGCCTGCTGTCACTGGGTATCCCTGAAAAGAGACTCGCTTCATCTTCTTAGCACATTCCCTTTTATTTTTTGCATACTTTGACAAGATCCTCTTGACCTTCTCTGTTCCAGGCTGAGCAGTCCCAGCTCTCTCTCTGTACTCATATGTCAGGTGCTTCAGTCCCTTAATCGCCTTTGTAGCCCTTAGCTGGGTTCTCTGTTATGTCCATCTCTCTCTTCTGTTGGGGAGGCCAAAACAGGACATAGCAGTCCAGGCATGGCCTCACGTGCTGAGCAGAGGGGAAGGATCACCACTCTYGACCTGCTGGCAATGCTCCTGCCCRTGTAGCCCAGGAGTTAGTCTTGTTTTCAGCAAGGGTGTATGTGGTAGCCCATCCATGTTCAACTTGGTGTCTACCAGGTCCTTTCCTGCAAAGCTGCTTTCCATGTGGTTGACCCCAGCATATTACTGATGCATGTGGGTATTGCTTTCCAGGTGCAGGACTTGGTATTTACCCTTGTTAACTTCATGAGGTTTCTGTCAGTCCATTTCACCAGCCTGCCCAAGTCCCACAGGATGGCAGCACACCATCTGGTGTGTCAGCCTTTCCTTCAAGCTGTGTCCTCAGCAGAATTCCTGATGGTGCACTCTGCACAACCATCAACATCGTTAATAGAGGTGTTGAATAGTATTGCCCCAATATTGACCTCTGAGGAACACTGATACTTCCAGGCCTCCAGCCAAGACTTTGTTCCCCTGATGGCCCCTTTGGGCCTGGCCTTTCAAGCAGCTGTCAGTTTGCTGCTCTGTTCATCCAGCCCAGTGTTGCCTGGATAAGGCTAGCTTTTACAGGGCAGCCTCAGCTCAAGYGCATTGCAGATATGTCCCAAAATTCTGTACATAAGCATTGCCCAAGTCATCAGTATTGCACGTATAGATGTAGTTGCTGCTGCTTGGATAGTACTTGACTAATTAAATGAGAAGGGCACCTTTTGGAAAACAGATGTGATTCTGGGTACAAGTCTGACTTGGCTTCAAGGGCCACAGCTGAACGTCTGCCATTCAGTTAGATCTTCAGTACAAATCACAATAAAAAGCTTTACATCTAATTAAAACAGTTAGAAAGTGAAATAGRTTAAGAACTCTSAAAGGTAATGAAAAACAAAAAACTACTGACKGTAACAGTATTAAGAGCATTAACAAACGTTTTACAGTAAAGTACAAATAGAGTGAGGATTYTGAGCTTTTAGAAGCTTTTTGCAGTAAGATGTCTTTGGGAAGGGAAGATGAGTATGCTGGAAACAGTAAGATAGGCAGATTAACTGCCTTTACTGACAACTACTTAATTTCTTCTAAGGCAAGGTAAAAGTACTTTTGCTAACTTGTCTGTCAGAAAAGGTAGAGGTTAATTTTCATAAGGGGTGTATTTCTTTCAGTTAATTCTGTTTTGGAAATGGAGGGCGGAAGAGATGGGATATCTCTTGGGGTCATTGAATTTTGCTGGCTGAATCTGTGACGGGAGTATTTGCACGTGCACACACACACGAAGAGACAGCATGTACTGAAACMTGCCTTTAGATGCCATATACCTGGTTAAAAATCTTACTTCCGCAGAACCTTTTCCTTTTGTATTAGTCCACAGAAGTTTTGGTAACTCAGTATCTCTTAAAACTTCTCTACTATTGCAGAATTTTTTTGAAGTGGWATGTGCTCACTAGAATCTAGTGATGAGAAATGGGTTTTCTGCTGTTGCCTATTCCAGAAAGAAAGGAAATTAAATTTATGCTGACACRCAGAACTGGGGTAAATGAAAAGCTTTGATTTTCTAAGCCTAATATCTTTATTACTTTTTAGGCACTTCGTTACTCATACTTCCAGGTTGGGCATGCCCTGGGCATTTYGGAACTGGGAAAACAAAAGGAACTGCATAATAAACCATCTCTGCATATTAAGCCTGTCCCTCCAGCACAGCCCCCTCCAAAACTTCATGCCCGAATTTCGTCAAGGCCTTTTCAACAAAGCCAGTCTTCTCAGCACGTGGTGTATGCATGTAAGACAGACAACTCTGGGGSTGAGCACAGTAACTACTTACAGCAGGACAAGTCTAACCAGGTTCTTCTGCCTGCAATTCACAATAAAGTTTCTCAGCAGGTAAAGGTCCATCTAGCATAAGATGAGTTTTCTGATATATTGCCTGATTTTTTTCCTTGTGSTTTTTTTTTTCTTGTTTTCTTTCAAGGTTCTTGTACTTTACTAAAAGGACAGTGATTGGAAATAAAAAATGGTTATAACTTTCTGCTAGAAACTGGAAGTTACTCTATTGAAATCTAGATCCAGTTGTTGTAAAACAAGCAAGTCAAATTCTCATTTTAGAGCCATTTTGTGCTTCCCTTTGTTGTAAAGCACCACTTGGAGGATGAGACTGATTTTATATGAGTAAAAAGATGTAARCATACAAAATATTAATGGGATTCATGCCAGAGAGAAAAGTATTAAGCTAAACAATATTGAAATGCGCAAAAGGAGGCTGTTGCCTTATGCATTTAAGGCATCCAATTTATTGACTATACTGCACGTGGAAACCAAGAGATTMTTCTTCCAGCATAAGAACCTACCCTTTCTGTTGACTAACGAGGAGACTGGATTCATAAGATAAATGATGAGAGCAGACACTGCAAATGCTGCTGCTACAGGGTCAGTGTTAAGTAGGGTCTGTACTGGCCAGTGTCATGCAATGTTGAAATGTACTGCTGAGCCTGAATGACTGAAAAGACACAAATTTGTATCTGTGCTGTCCTGCAAGAGAAAAAAACTTTAAAAGTCTGTAGATGCATGCTTGTGGAAACAAGTGTTCATGCAGTTTTATACTCTCAAAATGGGTCTAGAAATAAAAATTGAGCCTAAGCTAATTCTTTGTGAGGTGCATACTGAAACATGAATAGAATTGGAATTGAGACCTAAAAAAATTATTTTGTTAGTTCAATACACTTTCTCACAGGGTGAAATGTAGAAGATGTATAATAATGTCGGCAGGCTACAGATTGTGTTCTTAGCACGTTTAATGGAAGATGAAGATTGTGTTATTACAGCTCTGCTGCCACTATTACTCTTTGGGATAGAAGAAAAAAAATCCTCTTTTTTCCTGTCACCTGGTTCATGGTCTAAGCATGTGGGTTTGTTTCTTTACAATCTTGTAACAGAAAATATCTGCTGGGTCGGAGAATATAAAAGGTGAGCTTAAACCAAAACCTAGGCGAAGATGGGGGCATCTTCCCAGGACACTGAAGAGTTCTGAAGACTGGGATGACTTGGAAGACCTTGATTTCAGCTCTTCCATCATGAGAATGGACTTGAAAAACAAGAAGAGGCAGAATGATGAAACTCTTTGYAGGTAGGGGTTTTTTAATGTGCATGTGTTATTTGGTCTATTTCTTCGATCTTTTCCTCTTTCTTAGTAATACTGGTCATCATATTGCTTGCTTTCTGTCTAGAAATATATGTCTATATAATTTGGTATTCTTTTTTCCCACTGAAAATGATACTTGACTTAAGTCTCCCCAAGTTAATCTTTTAGTATATACTTTCTATATTACATGTGGACCATTTTAACATTCTCCATGCATGTAAACTGTTTTGGACAACTCWAAGCAGCAGTTTCCTTGGATGGTATACAGAAGAGAGAAAGCTACTGACTGAAGCCTTCTCTCTAGAACATACTGTGTAAACTGGGCTCCAGCCTCATCTGGGGGRTAGTTCTTTAGAATAGGGGGACATTACTTCATTTGTTAAGTTTCTTATTGGGGAATTYTAGCTAAATATGCTAATTTGCGAGGTCATTGRAAATTGTATACATGTTATACATGGGGGTGCATCTYGGCATGTTCCCAATTTTGGAAAGTTGTGCACCTAGGGTCCTATTAAAATMCTGAGGTAAAACCCTTTTATCCCCTTAACTGTGTCTGCCTTATAATTMTAAGACCAACCAARAGGYAACAGAGTGATTTATAAAAACTTTAAAAGCTGTATATACGGGAACTAGAAGTGCAGATCTGATTTTCAGGGGCACTTGTATGACTTCGGGTTGATAATATTCCCTGTTGTCTGTGTGTTTATAGTATAGCAAACACAGTATAAGGAAACTGTTGTTGGAGGTGGGAAGGAGGTGAGAAAGCCAACTGTGAATAAACATATGCTATCAGAATTGGACTGTGTACCAATTTTTTAATTACAGATTTGAAAGCATTTTGGACCTAAAGCCTTCAGATCCTGTAGGCTCTGGCAGCACTGCACAAACTTCCCATGCAACCTTTTCACGGCAGGACACTCCCACATTGCGAGTTTCTGCAGCAAAGCAACACTACTTAAATCATTCTAGGTATCGACCTGGTTAGTAAAAAATACTTTCCTTTTCTTYCTRCAAYTCYAARAGCAGCATGAAATAGTCATTGGTAYGTCAGCTATTATCCTTTGAGCTTTTGGAGGGGGGCTACTGCTTGAAGAACATGAGAAGAGAAAGGGCTTTGCTAATGTAGATGGCCATGACACAAACTACATTTTAGCAGTYTAGSAGCTGGGAAGTGCTRCTTACAAACAAGGGYRAGGGATTSTTRGTACKTCTTCCTCCCAATSGATACTCTTATACCTGGAAATGAGTTAGAAAATGTCTGTAGATGTGCCAAACTATTCCTGTCTTTTTAAAGTGTARGACTGGTCTTCTAGACTGGAAAAGAAAAGTGCCATTTGTTTACCTCATKAATTTATAATACATGAACAATAGGCTAACTAGTGGGAATATGYTTTGCTGTAGTTTGGAGTTTTACTTAACTTTACTTAACAGGTCCGTGTCTCTATAGAGAATTACGTGCCTATTTTCATGATAACCTCTGCTATAGTGAGACCAGTGCTGGGGCAGAATGAAGTACAGGAGGCAGACACCATGTCTGCCAGTATTTAAAATGAGCTGAATATAAGTGTATTCTTCCTMACAATTTCTGTTAAAAAAGGTAGTGTTAGCTGTTTATTCACTTGTAGTATTAATACTTCAAAATTAATTGAGTAAACTAGAAGGTATTGTGACAGTAAATTCAGTCTTTTTTTTCCTGAAACAATTGACTTTCAAATTGTCTTACTTAGGTAAAGTTTTCATAGCTAAAACTTGTTTTAGTAGAGGAGGTAGTAAAACACATTGATGTTTATCCCAAGCTTACTTTAGCCTTATAAATTGTGAGCACATCCTTGARTGTTAAGCATCCTGCTGAAATATGGGATCTAAACTAAATACAAGTAGTAGGTGAYGTCTGARCTGTACTGCAAACTGTGGTTTCAGTAAAGACACCARAGAATACGGTACTATGAGAAATGGAATTGTCATTATTGGTTCTCWGGTTATCTTGTCCCYATTAGGCTTTTATRGGAAGCATAGATTCCATTTACATGGCAAGGTTCACYTTCAGTGATTTGAGAATATTTATGGCCTTGATTTAAGGGTCCTRTCCTGTGATATAATTAGCCATTGTTGCTAGTGGAACTACTTGCATTGTGATTCTGCAGGATTAGAGCCTGTGGCTAGATACAGCATTCCTGTATGATGAGAGGATGGGGAGTGACCCATAGAGTTACTGAGAGGGAGAAGGWTTTGGTTAAGTTGAACCAGACATCTTCTCTAAGACTCTGCATCAGGTGGAATGAATGCAAGCCTGTGTGGCAGCGGGAATTGTAGTGAAGTTATCTTTGCATTTTTGCCTTATAGGAATAAGCACAAGGAATAGCATAGTCTCCACTTCAGACAAAGAGTCTGTTCCATCCAATCCCTGGCCCAGTTCTGGTTTGTCTGGGAAAACTTCCAGTTTAGGAGGAAGTACTACCAACAGGATGAATTCAGGTAAGAAGCTGTGCTTAAGACTCTGAGAAATGATAATAAGTGAAGTCTCTGCAATTATCCAATGGTGTATTTTGGAGTAACCCATTTCCAGAATATTGTCAGCTCCAAATATACCTGCTACCCTGCCTTTTCTTTGTGTTAAAATCAGTTACGAGCACTGTTCTTTGGGAGACTGCCTTAAACTGAATCTGAAATGGTAATTTCTTCTGATGAATCCACASAAGTCTGTAGTACCCCATGCATAGAAAGCTGGATGGCTTAGGTCTGTTCAGCCTGAAATGCTTAATCTTGCTTTCAGTTTCCCTCTCCAGTTTTTTTAAGTCATATTTTCAAATTATTTTAGCCCACCTGGTGCACAAATGGCTGTCATAGGAGGAAGCTGGTAAAATTGAACCTTTATACACATAGCATGTCTCCTTCCTGGCTCTTCTACAAGCTTTTGCTTCTTTTGTAGCAGCATAGGTTGTCATTAGATTTTTCTCATTTTTATTTATTACCATCATTTCCCACAACAGGCTTTGCCATCATTCTAGTACAGCATAGGCACATGTTTGATGGCTCTGGTCTGTGAATGATACCTTGTTTGGTGTCCATGTGTGCGACAGCTCTAGACTGTTTTGTTGCATTTCTGTGGCTTGTCCTACAGGTCTGTCAGATGTGTTCCTGCTCATCAAAGTGACAAGTTTTATAGCTGGCTTTCAAAATTTGAAGTGTGAATCTGTACCAGTTTAAGTTTTGCTCTCACTGGCTTCAATAAGAGCTTTGTGTAGCACCAAAGCCCCAGATTGCCTKCATAGAAATCAAGAGTCAATATATTCTTAGCACACAGTTGCTGAAAGTTAAACAAAATAATTCCAACTGAAATGCTAAATTTTGGGAGCTTTGAGAAACCTTGGAAAAGCTGGGATGTTGGGGAGAATTCTCCCTGACTGGTACAGTTTTTACCTGTTTTCCACTCATCTGTAATGCAGTCTGATGCTGACAATCTCCTGAATGCAGGTGTATAAATAGGAGCTGTGGATTTCTAGTGTCTACAGTGAAGTTCTTGTTTTGATCAGTCCATGCCCAGGATTGGTCTTCAACATGACCTTTCAGGGCACACCTTTGTCATCTGTTGATAAGATGGGAACTTCATTGTGTTCAGGTGTTCCTTGCCATTTCTTTCAGGGCCCATAGGATCAAGCAGTCTAACGAGTGCTTACGTCCCTTCGTTTCTGAAGAAGGRAGTAGGTTCTGCTGGGCAAAGGGTTCAGTTAGCACCAGTTGTGGAACCACCTTCTGGTAAGTACAGTACCAGAGTTCTCTTGGTCAGTACTCCAGTAATGCTGTATGTATGCAGCACTGAACTACTTATCTTTGCTTTATTTTATTTATCACTRTATGACTGACTGCAAGTATTGTTTGTAACCTTGCAGAACTTCTTACAGAGAATGATTTGGTTGATGTTTACTTTTGTTTATTAAATATGTGGATTGGTCTACAGCATATTTCAGAAGGAGCAAGAGGCTGGTGTGACAGCAGGCACAGAATTCACATTTGTCAAATCAGCGATGTAAATACTCTTTGTCTGCTAAGGTTTTAGAAACACTATTGTTTGATGTTAGCAAACTCTGTTAAAAAAGTAGGGTTATTTCCTGAAGAAATAAGGAGCTGGACCTGCACCCAGATATTGTTCAGTGTGGACAGCTTTCAYTGAATCTTTGTATCACAGAATTTTTTGTCCTTTAGATTTTGCTCCTCTGACATCAGTCAGACCCCTTCTTGGATGGCCATCGTTCAGTTCACCTACCAAAAGCTCGCCAAGGTTGATGCCTCTCCCACCAGCAGCAGAGCCGATCCACGGGCGYGTTGACTGGTCTGCCAAGTACAGCRCTCACCGGTGACTRCGGAAATACTCTCTGAGCAGTGCGTGTTCCCAGGAAATGGTGGCCACCATGAGACCATTTCATACTGGTTTATATATCTGTACATTTAAAAGAAGTAGATCTTCCATGAATGAGACATTTTGACGGGGTTTTTTACTTATTTGCATTTATTTGAATGCAATCTTGTACCTTTTTGTATAAAAATTATTTGTTATATAATTGGGTCCAGTTATTTTCATAAAAGTGATGCATTTTGTATATAAGGCTTATGGGATTTGGCATTTTTATACAGCAAATTTTTATAATGAACTTTTTAAAAATTTAACTCTTAGTAGATTCAACTTCTTTATAGAAGCAGATAAAAAAAATGTGGTGCAATATTGCAGAGGAGGAAAAGTACTGAGGAAGGGGCATTCATTAAACATAATCTGAARTTATGTGCTAATTGAGGCTGTGTAATTTCAGTGATGCCATGTCTCAGTGCCACACTTCTGTTGTCCTATGCTCATTTGCTTCCTACTGATGTCAGAGGAGAGAGTGGCTTAACAGTCTAAATTCTYCTTTGCAGTCACTCACTGAGAGACTGATCAAAGTCAGTGGGAGGCCCRTTATTTTTTTAAATTTATTTTTGCCTTTAAAAGGTTTTTTATTGGACTGGTATCCAAATTTACCAGATCTGAGGACTCTTATTGGTGAAGGGTAAATACTCTTCTGTAGATACGTTTTTTGACACATTGTTTTTTTCCTGTTTAAAAGTTGTTTTTTGGCATTGTTCGCTATGAAATAGAATATGGACCTACCTCTGTTAAATCCATTTAAATGTTCTGATGATTTCTAAGGAGAAAAAGCAGATTCTGTTTCTTCTTTTTCTTTTGTTGTGAATGTAAGATCTGAAGACATATTAAAGACTGTTTTAACAATAGTAACTAATAGAATTAATAAAACTGTTTTCWGAGTAACAAAATAATGATGTGCCACCAACAGAGTTTTTAGGGAACAATGTCTATGCAGTTGACTTACTTTTCACAACTGTTTTAAATCACTGCTGTTTTAGAGCTCTTAACGGGGGGAAAAAAAGAAAAAAAAAAACCCACCAAAACAACCCAGAGGAAATAAGTCAATCTAAGCTTACTTATGTTCACAGTGAATCTTCATTTTGTCAGCTTCCATAAATTAGGCACAGAGGCTGTACGGGGGAAAATGGGACCTTATGTAGTCCTGTTAGAAAATGTAAAACTGATTGATTTCACTGAAAGTGGTACAGCTCTTTGAAGATGAGTTTAACTCAATTTATAAAAAAGTATGATTTATATCACATTATAGAGAAAAGAAAGTAGGCCCATAATCTGGTTTAGTTCTGCTCTGCAAAGGAGTCAGAGTCCAGCCACCARCAGAAGATGCATTTTGATTACAGTGAGCATTTGTCTGTTCCTGCACATCCTTCTACAGAAAAAAAACAAAAAAACAAAACCAGTTCARTGCTGTGGGAGAACATCTTCTGTAGCTGTGTTCTGGAGCAGCACCACCAAAGCTGAAAGGTGCTGAGAGAATGCTCATCTTTCTGAGCTCATTGTGTGATCAGCTCAGCCAAATTGTTTGTRTATGAGACTTAAATCCAGTTTAAAGGGATCAGAGCAGTGCAATTCTCAGCTTCCAGCCATTTCACAGGAATTGAATGGCATGTGTCAGTGAGATCCTCTCCGTGGGATGTGCTGGCACACACAAGGTGCAGCTGCTGTGGACTTGAGATTGAGAACCAATTCTGGCCTTCTCAGTGCTTCCCATAGAGAACATGTGGGATTTCTAGGAAACTGTACCCTAGGATAGGCTGCTGGCTCAGTGCTACAGGGGGAATGATGGGAGCACTAACTGCTGTTTGCTTTTATGGGCTCAGTCTGCAGTGAGTCAGTACAAGATARAGAACAAAAGTGTGCATGTAGGACTTACACATACCAAAGACATCTTATGTATCCTGCCGCTCTTGTTACCTGGGCATAGCAAGTGCTAACTCCARACCATTCCTAACTGCTTCCAAAGCAGTGATGCCAATGCTTTGCGGTAAAGCAAAGCAGCCATTTGATTTTTAAAACACATACTAATGGTGTCTGTGCGTAAGTGAAAAGGGAAATATGTATATTTGTGTTAGAACTGGAAAGATAGTTGTTAATCTTGGTGGAAATAAATACCTGTATTGATGTCTACATATCATTTAATTTATTTTATCACCRGCTAAGTACTAACACTCTGGAGATAGCTGAGTCTCTCCACAAAGCAGGGGGACAACTCTGTGAGATTCAAGTAACACAAGATGAATCGGAGCCTGGCCTGTAATCTCTGAAGCTTTATCAGACCTTCAGTGATTTTTTTTTTTTTTTTTTAGAGCTCAGGCTTTAGTCAGTCCAGCAAAAAGACTAGAAAAAGAAGTTGTACTTCTTTTTTT